CACACACTGTGTCTTTGTGTCTGTATTTGTCAATGTCATTGTATATATATATATATATATATATATATATATATATATATATATATATATATATACATACATATGTGTGCGCATGGGATAATATATATATGGATATATGAGAGGTTTATGTGGGAAAAAATGTCTATGCTCTGTATTTACAAGACTTATTTTCTTATCTGTAACTTCATTATTTTGTACATAATTAAATTTTTCTGTTCAACCAATTTTTTCATTTTTTGTTTCCATGAAACAATGTTCATACTGAAATGGAAAACACATTTAAAAATTACTTTCCAGGGCACCAAAAATACTTGGTTTCTAGTGGAGTTTTTTACAATATGCTGGATAGTGAAGGGAATAAAAGACAAATAAGGCTTCAATTTAATGTTGTTGGACAAGCTTTCCAAATGATTTTATATTTTTGGAGAAACTTTTGTAATGATTTAATATTACAATAAATATATATTTTTTTCTAATACAGTGAGACCTCGGTTTAGGAGTTTAATGCGTTCTCCGAGATGTTTCTTATTGCAAGAAATTTGTAAACCGAAACACGGTTTCCCATAGGAATACATTGAAAACCAATTAATCCGTTCTGGAGGTCAGAAAAAAAGTCAAAATGAGCTGACATGAAAACCAAACCACAATGCAGAACACACAATAAAAAGGCATGCAAACAACAAAGCTCAGCTCCCTACCTTTCCACAGCTTGAGAAATGCACCAAAAAGTCCCAAAACAACTGCAAACAATTTCCATAATGGCTCCAAAACTCCATGCAAAAGCCGCTCCAACACCACCAACACCTCCACACTCTACGCCACGTGCTACCCACAGGCTCCAGCATGCAGGGGGCGATGCTATAAACCTCCCAGGTGCAATGCATCCGGGGGAAACTTGCTTTGCATTGCGAAAAAAAAATTGTAAACCGAGGCATTATTTTCAATGGATTTTCATTTGTAAACCGAAAATTATGTTAACTGAGGCGTTTGTAAACCGAGGTCCCACTGTATTTAGATATTTTCATATATTGATATATACATTTTTATATATAATATATATTTTTGATATTTTAGTATGACGAAAAAAAAAATGTTTTTCAAAGTTTATCCAAACTTATTAAATCATTTGGAAAGCTTAAGCAACAAGTGTCCTTTGAAATAAACTCAACATAGTGTCCTTTGAAATAAACTCAAAAAAACAAAAGCACATGGGGAATACTAAAACATATAATTTTAAAAAGGCCAATTTCAATAAGTTAAGGGAAGCTTTACAATATATTGACTGGCATGAACTCTTTAGTAAAAAGAACACTGAGGATAAATGGATCATCTTCCAACAAATATTAAAAAGGTACATTTCTCAGTATGTACCGTTGGGAAATAAATATAAAAGAAACAAATTAAAACCAATGTGGCTTAGTAGAGAAGTAAAACAAGAGATTACATCTAAGAAAAGGGCATTTAAAGCATTTAAATCGGACAAATCAGATGCATCTTATAAAAGATATAAGGAAGCAAATAATGCATGCAAAAAGGCAACTAGACTTGCTAAACTCCAAAATGAAATAATGATAGCTAAAGAGAGCAAATCCAACCCCAAAGCATTTTTTTAAGTACATAAATTCTAAAAAACCCCAAAATGAAAGTGTAGGTACACACAAAACTGAAACGGGGGTGTTAGTTAATGAAGACCAGGAAAAGGCAGGAATTTTAAATAACTATTTCTCCTCTGTATATATTAAGGAAGAACCCATGGAAATACATGTGCAAATGATTGCAACTAA